GGTGTTGTGCCGGTAAGAAGTCTGCTCCGACAGCTTCTGGCGTTTTTAAAAAGTATCCCAGGGGCACGGTAAGGGTCGGAGATGTTTAGTCTATTTAATTTCTGACTATATAAAACGATTTCTTCTGTTTTAAAGTGTGAAGTAAACTCCGACGAAGTAAAATCCAAGCGGATCCCGTTCATGTTCATGGTTACATCCGTGTTTGTTTACCTTTTTTGCATGCCAAAATGGCGTCCACTAACTGAGAGTTACGTGGGGTCCGGAGCTCTATAGGACCACATCATCTGCAAAAAGTAGAGACCTGATCCTCAGGCCACCAAAACGGATGCCTTGGCTGTGCCTAGAAATCCTGTCCATAAAGGTAATGAACAGAATCTGTGACAAAGGGCAGCCTTGGTGGAGTCTAACTCTCACTGGGAACGAGCCCGACTTACTGCCGGCAATGCGGACCAAGCTCTGACACCGGTCATACAGGGACCTAACAGCCCGTATCAGAGGGCCTGGTACCCCATACTCCCGGAGTACCCCCCACAGAGCCCCCTGAGGGACGCAGTCAAACGCCTTCTCCAAATCCACAAAACACATGTAGACTGGTTGGGCAAATTCCCATGTACCCTCCAGGATCCCCCTAAGGGTATAAAGCTGGTCCAGTGTTCCATGGCCAGGACAAAAACCACATTGCTCCTCCTGAATCTGAGGTTTTGCTAACCTGCAGGAAATTTCAATGACAAAGTTATCCAAAAAGTAGCTAAAGGTTACCAGAATGTTATTTTTAGGTACTTTTAGAAAGAAAAAAAAAGTCAAGGAGGTCTAAAAAGTTGTTAGTAGTAGCAACAAAGTTTCTAAGTTGGCAATGCTGTTGGGAGGTGCGCACAATTTGCAACTCGGAGTAAACCACGAGGGAGGTGCAAATAAACGGCTTGTTTTGTTTTTAAAATCATTTAAAACTCAGATCGTAATTGTGATTAAAATTCTAATAATTGAGAAGCCCTAGTTGGGACGAGTAGAAAAACTCAAGAACTCTTGATGCGATTCCAAAAGAGGGTGACAGAGTGATGGCGGAAGTATATAGACGCTGGTGGTGATGTGGATTAACCCTAACCCTATATAAACAAGTATTGCTATATGAATATTAGCTAAATATACAGTTTTCTCTGGTTATTACAAGTGTAAGTCAATTAAGGGTAAAAAGAAACAAATACACAGCAACTTAAGTAATTTTGGTCAGTGTTGGAATACATGACCTGTCAACAGTAGAATGAGTGAAGGACCGTTGTCCCTCCAGCATTGAAAAACCATTGAAAAACCAATTGAAAACCAAGTCAGACACTTGGGAAAGCATTAACTGTAAAATGAAACACACATGGTGTTTTTTTTTATTTTTAATAGACTTAAAATGATGGTCAAGCTTGCTCGATTCCTCATTAATTTTCTTTTTTTTATTTCATAGCAAAACTAATGGTCCTAATTATTGCTAGTCATGCTGCCTGTAGAAGGCAGGATGGAAACATCCCGCTGAAGAAGTGAATAAAAGCAGGAACAACACCAGAATATTTAATTAAATGTTGACCAGCAATCAAAAAAATGATAACGAGGAAAAGAAAAGTTGGAGTTGACTCAGGTGACACGTTGCCCTCTTGAGGATTGGAGATTCGGTTTGGAGAATATTTTGTGTGACTCCATAAGTATGTGTATGAAGGGAGGGGGGTAAATTTATTCAAGCTCAAGGGTGTGTATTTATTGGCTTGGTTCAGTGTTGCACAAAGATGGACAGGTCTGGCCTGTCACTGAATGTAATAAGGTTCCTGTGAGTCGTACACAAACACACACACACACACACACACACACACACACACACACTCAAACATGCACAGTGCACACTTCCTACAGTTTGACATTCCCACCATGGTGTTGTCTTGGATCAGCTATACTTTACCCATACCCTATGCATCATGAGGTGTATAGCTGTACAGTAACACTCACAAGTAAAGGAGCGCTGCAGCTTGCAGGGGCTGCAGGGAGATTTAGATGACTGACAGCCATGTGGGAATGTGTCCATATGGAAACATTCCTTACAGTACGGGCTTGTTGAGTGGCTGAGCAGAATTGCTACAAATCCTAATGTCCCAGAAATACATGGTGTTAAAAAAAGGAGAGATTCGGTGTGTGTGAGTGTATGTGGAGTAATGTGCAAGCTGTCAGTGGAGAAAGAGTGAAAGGTGGGGACTGCAGTATTCCTGCAGTGGGAAGCATTGATTTTCTGGTCTTGCATGGGGATGTGGGAAATGTCAGCCTCTAATTGAGTTGATAAAACCGTTTTGAGTCTCAGACGTAAATACCCCCCCCCCCCCCCCCCCACCCCCACACACACACACACACACACACAAAAGGCCAATGCATTAAACAACTCTCCCTTCGGGATGTCTGAAAGGAATAAAAGCTCCGCTTATTTCTTTGTGTGTGTGTGTGTGTGTGTGTTTACATGTACATCATTCCATGCACGCGGCGCTGCTTTGCTGCACACATCTGCAAGTCAGCAAGGAGGAAGGCGGGCTAGCAGCCGGCTGAATACAATCTTTTCTTTTGTTGCGACTCCGGAGCGATGCTTGTTAGGATAAACTGCTTTGTTTTGCCAGAGAGGGCAGAAATGAATATTGTGATAGCAATGCAGAGGTCACATCCATTAGAGATGTGGAGGGTGAATAAAGAAAAGGGATGAATGAAGCCTCTGCTGTCCCTGCTGATTAGAAGATTGATATGCAGTGAGGGCAGAGTACTTACCTGCTGCCTTTAGTGGAAATTCACCTCAATGTCAGAGGAGAGAGGATGCTTTGGGGTTCACTGTGTCTCTGGGGATTAGGAAATATCATCAGCATTTGTTCTACTCAACATTATAAATACACTCCACTGAAGAGCCTGTCTGCGCAAATAAAAATATTGCTGATAATCTTCATCAGAAACACAGGCAGCAGTTAATATTCATGCAACCATGATTAAGAAGTGAACACATACTGCATGCCTGTTTGCATCTATAAGACCATGCTTATAATGTTAGGGTGGGGGATACATAGACAGCATTTCACACATTATGCCACACACATGCACATGTTCTCTCGTGTCTTTCACATTCATGTGTGAGAGCACACACACACATGCACGCTTGTGGCAAATCACTGACATAATTAGGCAGACAGCCATTCGTATAGGGAATGCACACTCTTGAAAACACACACACACACACACACACACACATACACATGCACAAAGATACACACTACCTCTCTGGTAATTAACAGTATTAATTACAAGCATAGCTGTCCCTGTGAGGCTCTGTATCACTCACAGACTGCACACAGTAGGGTTCTTATTACTTTATTTCAACACATCACTACTTCCTTGTCTCCCAGTCTGTGGTTACACATGCGGCACACACTCAAATACACACCTGCTGGATAAACAAATGTTTGATAATTACCTGGAGACAAATGTCTGGCCAGTGGTAAAATCCAGTTGCCTGAAACATGACAGATTAGTATGCTGGAAAAGGAACTGGCCAGAATACCCGGATGACTTGGAATCAGATTTTATTTTTGTCACTATGTCCTTGTGCTTTATCTTTTTTTCTTTCGCATCTTAAATGTAGCAGCTGCAGATTAAGCTGGGTTTGATGTTGGTATCTGGCTGCATGAGGTGGTTATTTTCAATGTGACTCCACCCTTAAGCCCCTTTTGAATATCCCAACTCCTCAGCCTACCCCTGAGGTGAGTCCAGCCACTCTGAGGAGGAGGCCCATTTCATCAGCACTTATTTGTGGACCAGGACTGGAATGTAGATCTACTGTTAAAATCACCAGCTTTGCTTCTTGTCTCAATTGCACCAATCCACCCATCAGTCTCTCTCTTCACTAATGAAGGAACTCTGAGATACTTCACCTGGGGTCGTGAGTCCCCAACCCAGAATTGGTTTTCCACGTTTTCTAACCTGTTTAACCCTAACGCCCCCCAAGTGGGGGCCTTTACAGTTTCATGTCTCAAACATCAACCGTCCACATTCTCCAAGCACAACTAAAACCACAATCAAACAGCCCAGATGGGAAACAAGGCCATTTTAAATTGTAATAAATTAAGAAACAATGAAATTTGAACTTTATTTTAGAAGAGCATCTGACCTTCACTGGTGTCTGCTGGGAAAAAAAAACCTTCAACAAATTTAGTTGAAGACCCCTGGAATAAATAAAACAATTCACTACATTTCCTAAATGGAATTTGAACTCACAACCTCCATCCTGCCAGCACTTTCACACAGGGCAGCTCTTCTAAAATAAAGTTCAAGTATTATTTTATCATAATGCATCTTTAACAAAAAATTGCTTTGTTTACAATCTAAACTGTTTTGATTGTAGCTGTAGCTGTGCTCGGGGAATGCAAACAATCACTGACACCTGGGACATGAAACTCCAAAGGCCCCAATTGGGAGGCGCCAGGGCCTAAAGGGCTAATGTTCTGTTCTCATCTACTGAGGTTAAAACTTTCATTGTATTACTTTGCAGACCTGGTTTTATCTGTTCCATTTTGAACCTTTTTGTCCGCCCCTCTGTACTTATAGAATGCATTTTTGCTTTCTTTTTGCTAAACCAGTTTGACAATTCTTCTTCTGACTGGCTTATGATCTTAGCCTTTGGATTTCCTGCTTTGCTTGGCAGCACTTTGACTATCAAGTCGATGTTTCCTGTCTAGTTTGAGCCCTGCACTTAATTTCTCAATCATATGGGTGTTTTGTAAATAGGACGTGTTATGTTCTCTGGTCATCATTATATCAGGGTAGAAGGGTGCAAATGTGTTAACTGCACCCAAGTTCATTGCTGGTTGCTGAAAGGCTGAACGTTTTTCCAGTTGCAGCTTGAATTCTTCAAATCACCAAAGCTCTGTCACTGTGCACCACAAACACTTAAACAAAACGAATACCCTTTTAATAAATGTCCTCATTGTCTCTTTTTCTAGTGGATGGTTGCACGGACTGGTCAGTGGACTACCTGAAGTACCGGGTGCTTCAGGGAGAGCCGGTGCGGCTGAAGTGTGCTCTGTTCTACGGGTACATCCGGGCCAACTACAGCCAGGCGCAAGGTGTGGGCCTCAGCCTCATGTGGTATCGCAGCTCTGGTCTCGGGCACAGTGACTTTGAAGAGCCCATCTCTTTTGATGGAGTGCGTATGAGCAAAGAGGAAGACGCCATCTGGTTTAGACCTGCTGACCTACAAGACGTGGGACTCTACTCCTGTGTCCTACGGTAGGTTTAAAGAGAGAAACAGAAAATAGTGCAGAGAATGTTTAAATTTGTGTCATTTGGAAATGTTCACACCTGTTTGAGTGGCTTTGAGCAGCAAGTTTGATAACTGAAGTTTCAGGCACCTTTCTCTGTGTGAGCTGAAGTCTGTTTGAAGAAGCAGGCTTTTATTTAGAGAAGAAATCAGGCTTGAGAATTATCCAAATCAGAAAGATTGCATTAATATCACTCAAATGCCTATTTGATTAGGAAAAATTGCCTCACTTCATTTTCTCAATAGGCCTTAAAGAATGATGAGAACGCTCAATAGGCCAGGTCGAGTCAGCCGCAGAACAGAACTAGATGATTTTTGGATGCTTTGAACTCAATATCAGCTTAATTGATGCACGCGGCGAAGGCTATCAAACCTTTTTAAAATAATCCCAACTTGCTATTTCTGCTTTCTGATGTGTGGATTAAAAAGTCAATGCAGAGTCTGCTGGTCGCCTCAAAAGAAAACCAAAACCTGTCAGACAACTGTGGATTTCCATCTGGATGAAGTCATTTTAAGAGTTCTAATGCAGAAAATGTTCAAGTTAAAGCTTGTAAATAAACTAACTTGTCTTGTAAAAAAAATAAGAGATAAAAAGATATTTTTTGATGTATTATGTGTGTAGGAACGAGTTGAGAAAACTGACTCAAACAGATAATTAAACTTAAACTAAATAAAGTGTGTACACGCTTAGTTGGGTGGTATTTCTGACACCAACTTATTAACATTAAAGTCAATGATATCCTTTAATAAACAGCTGGGTGCAAAGCTTTACGCCTGTCAAATGAATGAAACCCTTTGTAAAGTGTGTTTGTTTGCAATAACGCGCTAGTCCCTAACATATTTCATTATGAAACTAAAATATTACACAAACACTTTAGTCCTCTAAATTATTATAACAGTTTCATTTTCAAAAACTCTGAGCAAGTATTTTAATTATCCTGAAATTCAGTTTTCCCAGGTGTGTGTTTCTCCATCTGCCGTTGTTGACTTGGGGGGATTTCCTGTTATTTCCCTCTAACTTAAAATAATTGATTACTCTGTTAGGAAAAAGCTTAGAGTTTTACCTTGCAGCAGGTGAAATGAGAAGACTTCCACAGACTTTGATTTGATTTTGTTTGATAAAATCCATTTAAAACACAATCTGATTTGCATCTGATGATTGTTTTAGCAGAAATATTAATTAATTTCGATCAGACTTAAACGCTGGATGCACTGGAACCCTAGCCTAGTGAACTAGACCAAATTCTTGCTTTGCAAAGTTTGGTCTAGGCATGCTCCATTGGAACCTCAGCAGCTCCTACCAGGACTCTGGCTAGCCAATCACAACTCTCTAGAGGGGTTTCAAACACATAAAGAGCTGTGATTGGTCCATAATGGTGGGCCAATCATAGTGCTCTATCTGCTTAGTGAACAAATCACAGAGCTTTAGCCGCGTTGTGGTACAATCAGGGCACTCTATATGCCTGGTGGGTGGGATGATGCAACAGAGTGAAACAAGAGTATGTCACATTCATTGTCCAGTAGCATGCGGAGATCATTTGAAAGACAACGGTAGAACCCGCCCCACAACCGAGAGCCGTCAATGGAGCATGGCCAGACTAAATAATACATTTATTTAGTCTGGCTTGCCAGGCTACTGGAACCCTGTTGTGATGTGAAGATTTAAGTTACACGAGCCGTTGTGAAACTTAGTCTTTTTGAATATAAATATGTTTTAAACAAAGTCAGGCCATTCAAGAAGTTAAAAAATGGTAAGATAAAATTCATTTACAGCTTAAACACACCAAAACAAGGCTAAACAACTGGTAAACAACAGTTGTGTCATCTTCTAATTGCAAAGTTACTCTAAGAAATTTCATCAAATTAATTTCCTTTTTCACACATATTGATGGAAGTTATGATAAATACTTCAAGTAAAGTTTGTATGTTGGCAAATACTAAAAGGACTTTAAAAACGAAATGGTGATTTTATTTATGAAAGTGCAAAAGCACCATTCAATCAAAAATAGGAATAAAATAGTCTCAAAAGGATTCAAACGGTCTCATCCCATTTTACCATACATGGGATTTTAGGCCTAACACATGAATTACTGCTCTGTTTCATTGAATTCCCAAGTATAGTAATATCTTTTGAAAACACATTAGTTCCAGAAACGTGTACAATCAAAGCCAAGATTGTTGAAAACCTTCTGTGACAGTGCACGGTCGCCCGGCAGCACTTTGTATTTTAACTCCAGTCATTTCTTGTTTTACACCTAAACAGATCCAAGCCACAAAAAAACATTGATTTGTCATTTAGTTTTACCATTTTGTCTCTGATAGCTCGTCTTTGTCTTTTACCCTGACCTTTCACTACACACCGACTGGACACACATGCAGAGTGTTGCTCTGTGTGCCTGAGGGGAAATCCCCACCTCTGTACTCGAGGTGATGCACGATACTAGCTCAACCAGCACACCTTAAAGTGTTAACAAACCTCTTTATAAAGTGCACAAGCTCAAGTGAAGCAAATTAGTTTGGCGAGATTACACTTAGTTCTTGAAACTTTAGTTTGGTTGCACCAAGAAAGATGTAGACAGGAGACTGATTCACTGGTTCACTGATAAACCAGTTTTACTTATTATGTTTCAAAATGATCGGTCGCTCTCAGTATAAAGTGCCGGCTGAACGTGAAAATGCATTAGCTTCTGATAGAAAATCGATGGGAAAACACTTGGTTCGGATAATCCTGACAGATCTGTCACACTGTCACTTAACACTCATGGGCTCACCCATCATTACTCATGACAGGGAGGGCTGTTGTTGGTTTAGCTTCAAGGAAACAGCAGAAAATGTCTCAGCTAGTAGAAGCTAACTGTTAGTATTAGCAACTCCACCAGCTTGTGTTTTATTTGGAGATAAAACATCTATGTTGCAAAGCTAATTGTTTGCTTTAGCCAATCAGAGGTGAGATTTCCAAACATCAGAAAATAAGAGTCCAAATGCTGCTGTGTTCTGCCAATATCTCCTTTGGCTTATTTTCTACGTCCTGAAACAGGCGCACTGGAGCTTTTTTCCTCCAAGAACGACTTACAAGGCATTCATTCCTACTACAGTCGATTTCAAATGCATTCAGATAGATAAAAAATGAGCTTTAAAAACTTAATGCTGAACTAATTTAATCATAAAGCTGTAAGACGATTGGTGTTGAGAATTTTTGCAGGAGTTGCATCTATGTGAAAAAGTGAAAACAATTAGAAGGGCGAACTTAATTCTTCATTCATTTGTGATTATATTTTGCGACTTGTAGAAGCTGAATATAAAAATCATTTCTACTGCAAAACATCACACCTGCACACGCTCTCCTTAAAGAGACTACAAGGAGTTTGAAATTTTCATGCTCATGATTGCCCCCTCAGGCCTAACGTGTAACTGCAGCTTCAATAGTAAGCTCTTGCATGAGGCGTGCATGCTGTACGTGCACACTCCTGAACAAAACAGCCGAGTCAGTCCAATACCAGTGCAATTTACAGGTTTAGACTGTTCCACACAATTCTAATAAATTAGATGCTAGACAAGCAGCCTAAAAAATGTCCCTACTGTGATATACGGAAAGCCCCTGGCTTGCCTTGAAAGCATCAACCCTTTTCCTCCTATTATTATTTTATTTGTTAAAGTTATTAATTAGTATGATTAAAATGGCCCAAATTGCTTTGATGTGTAAACTAAATTCTAAAAGTATAAAGTGATTTTAGGGCAGATTTGTTCTGTCCAAACCATTCTATTATAGGACAGAGCTCTGACCTCGTGCTCTCCTTGTTCTCACAGACTGTCACATTTGTGCATCTACCGGCATTTTCTTAAACAGCGGCTTTCCCCCCTCTCCACTTCTTCGCTGAGTTTTCTCTCCATCTAGATCATGACAATGGCGCACGCAGGTGCACCGAGCAACTGGGAGCAGGTGTTTCATGATACATCCATCCCCGTTTCGTTGAAGGAAATTCTGATTAGCCGCAGAGCTGCGTGTGATCACGGGACAGTAAGTCAAACTCCCACTAACTTTAATTGCTAAATGCAGGAAGAGCCAAAGTGCCTGATGGCTGAAGAGCCAGAGTCTGCAGGTTGATGCCTGCAACGTCTCCAGTAAAAGCGTGACTCTGCAGCGGTGTGAATCTGCAGCAGCAGCAGGCATAAATCTGTGGTCTCCAGCTCTGCAGGTGTAGCTTTATTGTCGGCCCAGACGAGAAAGGGTTGTTATGTCCTTGTGCACATGCACAGATTATCATTCTCTTTCGTTGCTCCTGGAAGAACGATCTGCAGGGAATATCTACAAGAAAGTTCTACAGAAAGTAGCAAAGGGTCCTCAGAAATGTTGCAAGGTTTGTTACTAGGTGTGAAGAACAGCGACAAAGTCGCTGAGGTGGCAACGCTGCCTCTCGCTCTGCCGCTAAGCTACATGCATGACGTCATCACACATTATGCTGTGTCTGGAAGGCACTGGGGATGCAGGCTTGTTCGACCTGAACATACTTTATTCTGAGATTTTACAGGAATACAGAGGCAATCACAGTAAACAGGCCAGGGGTCATTCCGCAGGACCTGGTGCCTCATTTATCAAGCTAGCTTACGCACAAAACAGGGTAGGAAAACTGGGTAAGCAACTTTCCACGCAAACCTTGGGGTAGCGGAAAAATGTACGCAACTTTAAGTTGACTAAGGACCTGGCTTACGCACATTTTGGACATGGAGAGCACCTGCAGTGCTGCCGCTGAGAAGGATGCAATTATGAATTCAAGCAGCATTATCACTTGTACCTACCGCTTCATGCGCACACAGACCAAGCGACCATTTACGGCAGAAGGTGGGTGTATTGAGGGTGGGATGTGATCCAAAAACACCTGAGAACCTTTCTAGGTAGTTTCTGATTTATAAAGCAGAGATTGCGTGTAGTTGTGCAAACTCCATGTTTTATAGGTCACAAACCTACTTG